ATGTTAATGGCTTGTGGTCGGTAAAAACGATCAGGTTTCGACCCTCGAACGTTTTTCTGAAGTGCTTGATAGCCATGTAAATAGCGAGTAGCTCTCGGTCGAATGTACTGTAGTTACGTTGAGTATCGGAGAACTTCTTCGAAAAATAGCCAAGTGGTTGCCATTTCCCATTGCTGTATTGTTGGAGAACGGCTCCTGCTGAGAGATCGGATGCGTCGCTGAAGATAGCAAGGGTTGCTTCGTGTGATGGGTGAGCGAGTAAAGCTGCATTTTGGATCGCAACTTTACAAGCTTCAAATGCCTTCGTGGCTTCATCGTTCCATTTAATTGACGTTTTATCTTTTTTCTTCGTGTTGTGAAGGTAGACGTGAAGTGGTGCTTGGATTTCCGCGGCTTTAGGTATGTGTTCTCTGTAAAAATTTATCATCCCAATAAAACGCCTTAGCTCTACGATAGTTTTAGGCTTTGCATAATCGATGATTGCTCTGACTTTTTCGGCAGGCGGTTTGATTCCTTCCTTGCTGACGGTGAAACCAAGAAATTGAACTTCTTGCTGTCCAAATATGCATTTCGAAGGGTTGATTGTGATTCCGTTGTCTTCTAATCGCTGTAGCACGGTGCGTAGATGTGTTTCGTGCGTTTCTTTATCAGGGCTTGCAACAAGGAGATCATCAATAAATGCGAAAACGAAATCTAGTCCATGAAGTACTTCGTGTATGAATCTTTGGAAAGTTTGACCTCCGTTCTTTAATCCTGGGATCATTCTTGGGAATTCGAATAATCCCATTGGGGTAATTATTGCTGTCTTCTCTATGTCCTCATCGCGTACTCTTATTTGTTGGTAAGCTCGGTTGAGATCGATGGTGGAGAATATAGTCTTGTCTGATAGTTGATGAGTGAAATCCCTGACTCGCGGTATTGGGTAGCGGTCAGGAGTGGTAATAGAATTCAGTCTTCTATAATCTCCACAAACTCGTAATTCTCCGTTCTTCTTCGGTACAATGTGAAGTGGTGATGACCAAGGGCTTTTGCTTGGACGGCATATTCCTTGCTCAATCATGTTTTCGAATTCCTTTCGAACTTGCTCGTATAGGTGTGGTGCGACTGGACGTGCACGGAAATGAAGTGGTGGTCCATTGGTTTTGTTGGCGACGCGCCTATAAAAATGTTTCAGTTTATTAAATCAACCGATGACGTTGCTATGAAAAAAGGGGGCAGTCACGAGCAACGACGCTCTGATAAGAGAATGCTTAGTTAAATCTTTAAGAAATGTCGAATTAATGATATGAAGGTCTTGGGTTCGACTCCCAGGCCGGACTAGTTTGTTTGTTTTCCTAAGTAATATCGCTTAATAAATTCGTAAGGAATTTAAGATATAAATTATGTTACCGGATTTGTTCCCCGGTTGAAATCATCTTTCAAATGATGTAAATTCATAAGAATATTAAAGTGAAGTTAAAGATCGGATTTGTTCCCCGGTCGAGATAATCACTCTGTGCATAGGCAGAATTAATGGATATTAATTGCATAAATGTTGTTTTGTATAAGTTTGATACGTTTTGTACGAAAACAAATGCCTATTTGTTATGATTGATTAATGAGAACATTCATTTATATTGTTATCTGATTAAAGATAGTTTCATACAGTTCGAAAATTGTATAAAAGCATTTAATTTGCCTAATATGGTCAAAATTGGTGTATTTCATAATTTAATTTTTTCTGATAGCCGAGAGCCGTGCAAAGTTAGTTGTTCACATAGCGTGAGTACACAGAAGCACGCTGGCCACGCCCTTAGGAGGCCGAATATGTAAAAATTTAAAATGTTTGTAATTCAGTGATTTATGTAAAAATTACTTGTAAAATATTTCAGGTTAATTGTACGTGCTAAAAAGGTAAATTCTGTGTTATTTTCATGTGAAAATTCCTGTGTATAAGTGAAATAATGATAGTTTTGTATAAGAAATTTAAAAGTGTTTTAAATAGTGAAATAAATAGAAAAAATGTAAATTAAACTATTGTATTGGTTAGCTTATGTATAAATTCAAGTGAGAAACATTGTTTTAACTTTCTGTGTTAAATATTTAAGAAATTTCGATTTCGAACTTGTGAGTAAAATAGGCAGTTTTCGTTTAATAAATAAAAGGTTTTTTATGATATGAAGATATGATGTATATCATGGTGTAGATATTGTTTTGTACTACCTATATTGATAAATTGTATTTGTATATGATTTGAATAAATAAAGATATTGAGTAAAACGTGAGAGAGTAATAGAACAAATTCATGTAATTGAGTTGCGCAAGCGCGCGAATGGCGCGGCTCACTTTCGCGTATAGCTCTGGGGTAGCTTAGTGAACGGGTTTTATTGCAATTCGTTCGGGAATCCTTCGGAAATGGTTCGGGGAAGTTCGGAAACAGTTCGGAAATAAATAAGAAAATCCGGGAAAAAGTTCAAGAAAAGTGAAAAACCAGCAGTATAGGGAAAAGTGATTACTCTCTCACGGAACGGTTTGAAGATAATTGCTGTTTCATTCCCAAGATCCTTTAAGTTATACAGTCCACATCGAAGAATTAAGGCGTCGGGACCGGGACGACTTCGGAAGACCCGTAATCCCCGTCTGAACCTACTTGCTGAAAAGGAAGAGGTTATCGCCCTTGTGTGTTACTCCGTTGCGGAGATCACATACGTTGTTCCCGAACCCAACGTAGGCGTTATAGGAGGCTGGATCGAGAGAAGCCTCGATTCCTGTTTCTTAGTACCCGATCCGCTAGGTCCTTTTCAATTGGTCCATTTCAATTCAATTTTTCAGGATCAAGAGGGACACCGACCTGGTCCTTTTCAATTGGTCCTTCGCGGCCGGATTGAGAGGACTCCCGAACCTGGTCCTTTTCAGGTTTCGATAAAATGCTCAACGTTGTTCTTCGGTATTAATTTCATTGAAGTTATTCTTGTGATACCAGGGTATTCCTCGAGGATCTTGTGATATGGTTGTTGAACATCTATGCTTCTTATTGTGGGTAGATTGGTTGCTTGGACAAAAGACTGAGATGCAAGATTGGTTTTCCCGTCGATGAGTCTTGTTGCTGATTGAGCTGGTTGTACTGTTGCTGGTAATTTGTGTGATGCTGGGAAGCTTTGAGTGCAGCGACTTCGTGTGATAACTTCCGAATTTCTTCGACAATTAATGTATATGTGTTCGCCTTTTGCTCCATAATGACGGCTTGATTACAATGATTTTATATATACTGAAGTCTTCCTTCTCGGTGTTCCTCGGGTTTCCTTCGCGGTGTTCGTACGGGTCACCACTGTAATAGTAGTGGTACGTCGCAGGGTGTTCCTTCTTGGTGTTCGTACCGGATCTTCCCCCTCGGTGTTCGTACGGGATCTTCCCCCTCGGTGTTCGTACGGGGTCACCACTGTAATAGTGGAGATGGACGGTCCACTATTAACAGACTCCGAGTGGTTTTAAGGTGGAGAAATGAAACGACTGTTTATGTAAGTCCGATTGAAGTATGAATATGGAATGAATGTGGAATGGAATATATTAGCATCAACCTTGCCTATATTTATATGGCTGGCTCACAATTGATTTGCCAATGGTAACAATTTTTATTTTATCTAGCCAATTATAATGCTTATATTATGACCAATGAAAATTATTCAAAATATACAACTATTATCTACGTTTCGTTTCCCGGCGTGAGACTTGTTTTCTTGTTCACGAAGCTACGTCGCTGGACCGGGCTATAAAAGACATGCAGATTTGTACGCGCGCGTTGTCGATGAGCGGCGGCGGCGTGGAATACAGTTCCGGAACAGCGAGAAGAAGCGAACTGTGGCGTTGAAGAAACGGCTCACCATTGGTCGACGGATACGTGACGATAGCGGCGTGTGAAGTCGATGTGGCGCTGAATGATATTTGCGGCTGCTTCTTGTTTCTTTATAAGAACGTCAAATTATCTATATGCAGTCCGCAGTATCGCAGTATCTCAGTAGCCAAGGATAGTTAGGAAATAAATGTTTTTTTATCCTCGCCTTCCGCGTTATGGTAGCAGCAGAGTATATATTATTTATTCCCGTTTAGGGTTGATTAGTCTGGCTGCTACAAAAGCTTGGCGTGCTCAGCAGAGCGGGACAGTATTTCATGCCTGCAACTTTACAAGGCGCAGGTTCAGCCGCACATGGAATACTTTTCCCATCTCTGGGCTGGAGCTCCCCAGTACCAGCTCCTTCCACTTGACCGCATCCAGCGCAGAGTGGCTCGAATCGTCGACGACCGAGTGCTTTCCGATCGGCTCGATTGACTGTCGCTGCGAAGAGATGTTGCATTTTCTTTCACATGTACCATGGGGAGTGCTCTGAGAAATTAATTGTTCGGATTTTCGTGAACGCACTACGCGGCAAACGTCCCGATACCATCCACACCATCTGGATACTTGGCGGTCCACTACTGTACGTTTCAAAAGGAGTTTTTTTCCGCGTAAAACCTCTCTGTGGAATAGTTTACCACCGGCGATTTTTCCGGACCGATACGACCTGGGGACCTTCAAGAAAAGAGCTTACTCCTTTCTAAAGGGCCGGCAACGCACCTGCAATTCCCCTGGTGATGCGGTTGATCATGGGCGGCGGTAGTCACTTAACATCAGGTGAGCCGCATGCTCATTTGCCCACTATTCTATAAAAAAAAATAATAATAATATTTTATTGTTACATTATATAAAAATATACAGGGTAACATAACGGTTGTTTAATATGTTTAATGGATAAGTCATTGCTTAGAAAGAGAACAACGATTGAACATAATTCATAAACCTTTTACAAAGATACATAAATATTGACTTCAAAGTGTTGTATGTTACGTCTGTAACTACTAGTTATATGGTACAAAAATAAAAAATTTATATGATTGTTGTATTTTCTTCCTTTAAATGTTTTAACGATGTAAAAACTGTAACGTAGCATTAACTGCATGCTTGAAACCGCAAATCAGGTTAAGAGATGCATAATGAGCGAGGCCTATGTCATAACTCAGGTGATGTTGACGACAAATTTTCCAGTGTTATTTACTCTTTAGATAACGTCTGTGGTTACTAAAAGTTTAAATTACGCTAAAACGGATTTGTGGATTCATTTTCATTTTCACATTCATTTACAATTACATCATTCTAATCTCACATAATATTTTTGTGTCCACCCTTCCAAAAATGCGCTATCAAATATAATGGATATTTGAAAGAGTCAACACACACATCCAAATGTCAGGCTATAACAGTAGGTAACCATCGGATGATATAAATAGTGGGTCTTGCAGCTCTACCTCTGATCGTTTTAACGGATCTATTTTAGAAGTGATTAAGTACCGTAAAAAGACCTTGGCTTACACGTCGACTCCTCCATGAGCTGGCAAACTCGAGGGCAAATTAGTTTAAAACCATAGGTATTTTTTGTGCTATCTAGTACCTGAAATACTTTCTTCCGCCCAGCAGCATAGCGATTATTATTCAGAACTTAATTTTTCCATTTTGTGAGTATAGTGATGTGAGTTATTTTGCCAGATCCCTTTGTCAAATATGCCCGTCTTCTTCATAATTGTATTCGGTTCATATTTAATTTTTGAAAGTATGATCATGTGTCTACTTATCGCTTTTTACTTAATTGGCTACGTATTTGTTAGCGTCGTAGCTATGTTCACCACCCTTTTTTCTATTCTTGATGTCTCTTCATCCTCTAACTTATTTAACTCTTAATTTTCAGTGTCTTAACTCCAACCATGATAGAGTTCTCCGTTCTGCTGTTCAATAAGCAGGGCACCCTTCAGTGCCCTCCTTATTGAAGTGACTTTGCCAATCATTCTTCTTTGTCCAATGTGTTCTTCTTTGGAACGCTCTTCACTAAATATTATAATTATAAATGTAAACATTATTCATTATTTTTTCTATTTTATCTATATATGCATAATTTTCGTAAGTTTATAGTTACAAGCGTTCGGCCCCGACTTCGCATGGTTATTTTATGGATCTCTCCAACAGCGCTACGGGTGCAACAATAGCTAAGAACCAACCTAGTGACTCATAAATAAGTATCCCATAAAAATTTCATCATAACCCGTTAAGCCATTTAGGAGGAGGAGCATTACGAAAACGAAAAGAAGCATACTGAAATTTAGTATATACAAATAGATACGCAGACCTCTATTTATTTCAATTTCAATGCGTATTTTTACACTTCTATCTCAGCCCTCCTCTAAGGTAAACTGGTAGAGAATGCATCAGGTATTAAGTTCGCCTAATATATATTACCTAAATGTGAAGTTGAAGAGGTCACGTCTTATGAAGTCAACGCTTCGTCTCCCTTGTGCTCTTATTCAAAGCCCCGAAAACTTTCAGGTCGGTTACAAAATCGTAGTAGACTATATAAATGACAAGCTTGCGGAAACTGTCCGTTCGGTCGGAGTTAAGTTCTGAAAGACCCGTCGCAGAAAAACACAAAAATTTTAGGATCACTCTTAATCTCCTGACTGTTTTAAGGGAGATGAATCTGCAGTCGTCAGCAGATTTCACATCATATAGGTAACTGAACAGACAGATTTCCAAATGCATGCGGCGAGACTTACTCTTCAAGCTCTGGACTGGACTGGAAAGGATACGTTATTAACATCAATGGCGAGTACATCACTCACCTTAGATTTGCCGACGACATAGTCCTTATGGCAGAATCTCTGAAGGATCTGAGCCCTATGCTCAATGATATACATAATACCCTTCGGCAAATTGCACAGAAAGCCGAAGGAAACATAATATAGCTACTTTATTGTCTTGTCTCTTCGTTGGTGCTAGGTTCAATAAATATATATATTCGATATATTACGATAAAGTCCTTATGGATGAATCACTGGAAGACCTAAGCAATGTGCTCAATGACTTCAATAGCATCTCCAAACAGAATAGATGAATATAGACAAAACGAAAGCCATGTGTAATTTCTACGAGTGTGCCGGTGGTTGTGGAGAGCACTAAGCTCGAAGTCGTTGACAAGTAGACCGACTAACTAAGTCCAACTTCGACCGAGAGTTCAATCGACGGATTCAAATTAGCTGGGCAGCGTTCGGTAGATTGCGACACATCTTCTCGTCAGGTTTACCTCAAAATCTCAAAACTAGATTGTACAACCAGCGCGTGTTGCCACTGATGACCTATGGATCTGAGACGTGATCCTTTACTGCCGGCCGTATGAGGACGCTCAAAGTCACTTTGAGCTATTTTTTTTAATTTTATTTATTTATTAGGTTCTGCAACAGTTATTACAACAATACAACACATTTGAATAAAGAAATACAAGTTCCAACATGTCTTAAACTAAGTGCATAACTACTTAAAGGGGAACAAATCATGCGTTTAATAATAATAAGTTACATATATGAAAAAAAAAACATAAAACCTATTTTAAGTTATTATTCAACATATTACAGAAAATTTGTTTTGTGATAAAGTCTCTGATCTGCTTAAGAAAATGATTTAAAGAATCAAAATTAAGGTCTACCGATGTGCTGCATTCATTGCAAAGTCTACTCAATCTAGGAACAGGAGAGAAATGACCAAGTTTGGTCATACGTATTGGTGGGTTCATAGGCTGAACAGGCTTTCTCGGAAGCCGAGAAGGTATTCTGAAGCAAAATGAATTTAGCAAGGGAGGACATTCTGTCTATCTTATTATAGAAAAGCTTGAAAAAACATTAAATCTGAAATGTCACTTGTTGCTTCAAGTGGCACGACGATTTAAGCGATCTAGCTTTACCTACAGAGTACGCTACGTACCATAGAAACGGTTTCTGAAACCTTTCCAAGCGTAACGTATGTGTTGCGAAATGGGGCCTTCAAACAACGCTGCAGTATTCCATCATGCTACGCAGGAAACTATTATAAAGAATCCTCTTGGTCTTAACGGTCTTGAAAATCTTTGCATTGCGTATAATGAAACCGAGCATTCCGGAAGCTTTTTTTATACTAGGGTCGAAAATTGTTTTTTTACGTGGTGGAGCCCTGCTGCAGTTATATCTGTAGTATAGTTGTAGCACGAATGGGTCGGCTCGACCGAGGAGGGACCACGCTCTCATAGAATAATAGTAGCTTAATGCTGCTGTGTTTCGTATGGTGAGTGTAGAGAACCGGATACCCTTTTTACTGGAAGCGAGGCATTCCATCTTAGTTCTCACGGGTGACAACGCTTCTGCATTTTGATTCGTAATCGAGGATAGATGTAGATGCTTATGGGCCACAGCAACCACTTACCATCACGTGGACTGTGTGCTCGTTTGTCATTCTATCCTATAAAAAAAGTATGCAACACACCCAAATCTCGAACATTGTCAACTTTTCGTAATTTAACACCATTGATATGGTATGACGAATTTATACAATTTTGTTTGCGCGTTAATTTAATATGTGTACACTTTTTTCTATGTATTGTTTTCGTGACTCCACCTCGTCAATTTATCCAAATCTGCTTGCAAGAGATTCATATCATCCATGGATTCGATTTCACGTAATAGTTTAATGTCGTTGGCAAAGAGGATTTAACATTATTAAGGTTAACAGAGACATCATTGATGAAGATGTTAAATAAAACAGGGCCAAGGTGAAATTTCTTGGTTTTATATGATATTTTCTGGGTTTTAGATGAATAACCACTAAGTACAACGAAAAAAGACCTTTGAGCTAGGTAAAAACTGAACCATTCCAGCAAGGAATCATGCAAACCATAGGATAAAAGCTTACGAACAAGGAGGCAATGAGATTCTTTATCGAATGCCCTGCTAAAATCCGTGTAATTAATATCAATCTGTTTGTTTTTGTCCATAGACTTAATTAGTTCTTCGGTGAAGCACACTAAGTTTGTAGAAGTCAGTTTACCCCGCGTAAATCCGTGTTGTTGGTCAGTTAAAAATTGTTTAAAGTAATTTTGAATTAGGGGTGTAATCAATGACTCCATAAATTTATCCATTTGAAGGAGGATTCAAATTAGCCGGTAGTTTCCTTTTCTATTTTCACCACCAGATTTGTAAATTGGCACAATTTTAGCCACCTTCCAGACTTCGGGGAAAACTTCAGACTTGAGAGAAAAATTGAATATGTATTGTAGTGGAGTGACTAAATTTGATGCACAATTAATAAAAAAAATGGCCAGAATCTCGTCAAATCCCGCCCTTTTCGACCTATTCAGCTTGGTCAAACTTTTGTAAATCATTTCTTCTGTCAAGTTAATGGAACTCTAAAAATCATTGCAATATGTTATCGGTTGTGACTGTTGACCAGATTGATGACTGCTCTTCACTGTAGACAGAGGAGAAGTGCGATGCAAAAAGATCACATATATGTTGACCATCATGAGTTGATACAGAACCATCTATCATCTCGACCGGATATGAATTCAGACTGCCACGTTTCAATTTGTAAAAAGATCAAAATAATTTGTAATTAATGGCAATATTTTCTTCGGTGCATTTTATACAGGAATTGTAGGCATCCAACGATAGATTTTTTACATATTTTCGTACAAATATTCAATTCTACTTTGTCTAACAGATTGTTATGTTTTTTTGTATTATTATGTACTTTTATTTTATTTTTCTCATGTAAGGCTTTGATCAAACAAGAGCTAAACCATTTGGGATTTTTTTTTGTTTCGTTACCATTGGAACGTACTCGTTAATGATTTTGTCAGGTTTATTATAGAATATTGTTACCACGTCGTCTATCTTTTCTATTCTAAAAAAATAAAAAATAAAAACTTGAGACCCGTCGATTTCCACCAGTTTTTGGTTAATCAATTCATAGTCGGCCCTAAAAAGCTTCGACTAGTGAAGTTACAATTTTGTGCTAAGTTGTAATATTTTTTTTTTAATTTTAAAAGTATTTCTAAGGAAGGATACAGCACATCGATTGCAGGCGAAACATCGGTTGCACGGTCTACTTGAACTAATAAATGTGATTGCTCCAAAAATACTAGATCCAAGACTTTTCCTTTAGAATTCGGCATTTCGTAGTACTGTTTAAAGTTGTTCACAAGCAAAATCAGTGTCTGCATAGCGTTGATTGAACGGCGGGATGTACTATTTATGATGACGATGACGGTGACGATGATGACGACAATGACGAAGTCGATAATGATACGATGATGATGACGATGATGATGACGATGATGATGATTATGCTGATGATGACAATGACGATGACGGTGACGATGACGATGATGATGACTATGACGATGATGATGACGTTGACCATGACGATGACGATGATGATGACAATGATGATGACGATGATGATGACGACGATGATAAGATGACGATGACGATAATGATGACCACAATGACGATGACGATAATGAGACGATGATGATGACGATGACGATGTCGATGACGACGACGATGGCGATGACGATGACGATGACGATGACGATGATGATGACGATGAGATGAAAGTTCTCAATTTGCTCGAAAAATGTTTAAATATTTAAAGCGATATAAATATTAAATGTTTCTTATACTATTTAAGTGACCCTTCCCTTCCTAGACCCGGGCTACTATGACCATATTATTTTATAAAGTTAATTATCTAAAAAATTCTGCTGGTGAAATAAGTAGTAGACGATGATAATAGCGATGACGATGACGATAACGATGACGATGATGATGATGATGACGATGAGGATGATGATAAGATGACGATGACGACGATGACGATGACAATGACGATAACGATGATGATGATGATAAGATGACGATGACGACGATGACGATGACAATGACGATACCGATGACGATGATGATAAGATGACGATGACGACGATGACGATGACAATGACGATGACGACGACGATGATGATGACGATGACGATGACGATGACGATGACGATGACTATGATGATGACTATGATGATGATATGACGATGACGACGATGATGATGACAACGATGATGGCGATAATGATACGATGATGACGTCGGTGATGATGGCGATGATGATGATTGTGATGATGACAATGATGATGACGATGATGATGACATTGACGATAATTATACGATGACGATGACGATGACGATGATGATGACGATGACGATGACGATGACGAAGACAATGACGATAACGATGAGGATACGATTACCATGAAGATGACGATGACAATGACGATGACGACGATGATGATTAAGCTGCTGATGACGATGGTGATTATAATGGCGATGATGATGATGATGATCATACTGCAGCTGATGATGGCGATGGTGATGATAATGGTGATGAAGAAGATGATGATAATGATGATGACGATGATGATGATGATAATGATAATGACGAAGATGATGAAATTGACGATAATTATACGATGAAGATGACGATGACGATTACGATGTCGATAACGATGACGATGACGAAGACAATGACGATGACGATGACGATAACGATTACCACGAGGATGACGATGACAATGACGATGACGATGATGATAAAAATGATGATGACGATGATGATGACGATGACAACGGCGATGATGATGACGATGACGATGATGATGTTGACCGTGACGATGACGGTGACGATGATGATGACGATAATGATGATTATGCTGCTGATGATGATGACAATGCTGATGACGATGATGATAATGATATTGACGATGATGATGATGATAATGATGATAACGATGATGATGACATTGACGATAATTATACGATGATGATGATGATAACGATGACGATGACGATGTAGATGACATTGACAATGACGACGACGAATACAATGACGATGACGATGACGATGACGATGATAATGGTTGACCATGACGATGGCGGTGACGATGATGATGACGATGATGATGATTATGCTGCTGATGATGATGACGATGATGATGACAATGACGATGATGATGAAGATGACGATGAAGATGTCGATGTCGATGACGAAGACCATGACGATTATGATGACGTAGACCATGACGATGATGATGACTATGATGATGACGATAATGATGATTATGCTGATGTTGATGATGATGATAATTATGATGACGATGACGACGATGATGATGACAATGACGATTGCGATATTATACGATGATGATGACGATGATGATGACTATGACGATGACGAAGACTATGACGATGACGATTACCATAAAGATGACGATGACAATGACGATGACGATGAAGATGATGATGACGTTGGCCAAGACGATGACGGTGACGATGACGGTGACGATGACGGTGACGATGATAATGACGATGATGATGATAATGATGACGATGATGATAACGATGATAATGATGTTGACAATGATGATGACAATGACGATAATGATACGATGATGACGATAACGATTACCATAAAGATGACGATGACAATGACAATGACGACGACGATGACGATAATGATGACGTTGACCATGACCATGACGGTGACGATGATGAAGACGATGATGATGATTATGCTGATGATGATGATGACGATGATGATGATTATGATAATGACGATGATGATGATGACGATGACGATGACGATGACAATTACCATGAAGATGACGATGACAATGACGATGAGGATGACGTTGACGATGACGTTGATCGTGACGATGATGGTGACGATGATGAAGTTGACTATGACGATGATGATAATGATGACGACGATGACGATGACGGTGACGTTGATGACAATGACGATGACGATGATGATACGATGATGATGGCGATGAAGGTGATGATGGCGATGAAGGTGATGATGATAGTGATGATAACGATGACGATGATGATGACGATGACGTTCATGATGACGTTTGCCACGACGATAATGATGATGATGATTATGCTGATGATGATGGTGACGATAACGATGATAATGATGATGACGAAGACGATTATGATGACGATGACAATGGCGATGAGGATGATAATGATAATGATGAAAAAGACGATGACAATAATGATGACGATGACGATGGTAATGACGATAATGATAATGACGATGATGATGACGTTGACGATAATTATACGATGAAAATGACGATGACGATTACGATGACGATAACGATGACGATGACGATAACGATGACGATGACAAAGACAATGACGATGACGATGACGATAACGATTACCACGAAGATGATGGTAACAATGACGATGACGATAAGACAATGACATGATAAGATGACGATGACGACGATGATGATGACAGTGACGATGACGATAATGACACGAAGATAATGACGATGACGACGATGATGCTGACGATGGCGATGGCGATGATGATGACGATGACGATGACGATTACGATGATGATGACGTTGACCATGACTATGACGGTGACGTTGACGATGATGATGATGATGATGATTATGCTGATCGTGTTGGTTATGACGATGGTGATGACAATGATGATGATGACGATGATGATGATGAGCTAAAGAAAAAAAAAATTAGGCATTCTGTGTGCAATCAAGAGAACTTATTGATTTTCAAAAAAGAAATCATTGTTTTTAATGCAAAAACTGTATTTTTATATATTAATAACTAATAAAATGATTCCTTAATAGTGTGAGCAATTACGGATTTAAAATGAGCAATTTGTGAGCAATTGTGTGCACCGATTCAACAGTCTGATCGGCTAAAGATTTTTTTTAAATTAATTAATTATTAATTACTAATTAAATAATTAATTAATAGTTTGAGTAATTGAGGATTTTAATTAGGCATTTTATTATATATATACTTATTCATTTTCAAAAAAGTTCATTGGTTTTGAAGCAAAAACTTTTTTGTATTTTTAATTATTAATAACTAATAAAATGATTCATTAATAGTGTAAGCACTTACGGATTTGAGATGAGCAATTTGTGAGCAGTTTTGTGCACTTATTCAATCACCTGATCGGATAAGGAAAAAAAATTTTGTACTTTTAATTATTAATTACAAAATAAATAATTAATTACTAGTGAGAGCAATTGCAGATTTTAATTAGGCATTTTGTGAGCATTTAAGAGTACTTAATAATTTTTAGATAAGTTCATTGGTTTTAAGTATAAAAAGCAAAAACAATTTTGAATTTTTACTTATTAATAACTAATAAAATAATTCATTAATAGTGTGAGCAATTGCGGATTTGAGTTTAGCAATTAGAGAGCAATTTAGTGCATTTATTCATTTATTTCAGCGGTTATACTTCCAAGCCAACTTCCTTGTGGTAAACTATCTATACGCAAGCGCATTCCAAAGCAGAATGAGGAATAAGTTCTGCTCCATCCGCTTTCTCAAACACGCACGGCGTGAGACCTATCGAAAATCGCGTCGTAACAGGTTTATTATCTCTGAATGACCGCTTCCTTCACTCTACCCCGTACCATGAGACACGCTTAGCGCATAACGATACGTAATCTATAAAGAAATGTATGGAAGCAATAACTGTCGTTTAGTTTCGATGCTAACATAATACTTGAGGTCGATGTACTTTTTTCCACCTGCCCTAGAAACGTACTATATGAGGTAGCCTTCTCTTAAGCTGTGAACTTATATAGGCTGTAATGGATTGATGGATGAAATCAGAGCTAAGTCGATAGCATAAGCAGACCAAATTGCGGCAACGTAATGTTCAGTTGAATTTAACAAAACTTTACACCTTTGCCTTTATTTATTTTTGTTCGTTGCAACTTACTGATACTAGCTTTTGAAAACCTGCAAGAGAAAAATTATCAATTCACGTATACTTTCTTAAACTCTCACAATTTTATGCCAGTTGTATTTTTGATCAAAGAACGGTTGATGTTTATCTTCCCGCATATTGTAAGTCTTCATCGTATATAAAAGCAAAAACATTTATATCGCTTTGGTTGTGCTTCCTATTCGCATTCAGTTTTGTATTTAAAAATATGTATTTTTTCTTTGAAAGAGTATAAATGTATGTGATTTTGAGCGTGAGGACTTTTTACATGGAGTTCTTTTTATAATAATAAAATGGTGAGAAACTATCTAATAACAAAACTCCTGATAATAAAATACTTCATAGTAGGTCCTGTGATCCATAGATACCAGGCGCCAATTTCATCATTATTGAAGTCCAACACGTTTTGTACTGAATATGCACCTTCTCTAAATTTTCAACGGGTTGAAGCCATGATGCAGCACTGTTAAGTATTACTGCAGCATGAGCATAGTTCCTAAAATAGCAGCATAATGCTGCTCTGTTTCACATGGTGAGTGTTAAGAACAGATTTCGTAACGGAGAATTCAATATTAGACCTGGGATGTGACACATCAGCATTTTGAACCTTATTAGGTGTCTATGGACTAAAGAATCTTATTATCTTACTGCATTAAAAATTAACTACTTATGCTTAAATTGTTGAACAAACTGGACAATAAACATAACGCTTCCTGAAAAAGAGTTTCAATATATCTTCTATGCTTTTCTATCCTTTTACTTCAGTCTTCTGAAACCTTGCGCAATGTTGATTAGTCTTATTTTATATCAAATAAAAAAAAAACACAACTCTAAATTTGAAACCACCTTTTTCTTATAGTAACAATAATTAGTTGAAATCGCCCCTACCCAACGTAATTTTGGATATTTAATAAAAATTAGCATGTGCGAGATAGTTATACCACAATCTATCGGGGTCTGTGAGATATCTATACAAATAAATAAAATTGAAATGTCTGTTTGTAATGTCAAATTAACAGCAGTACTTATAACAAGAAAAAACATTTTTTTAATTTTGTCTGTCTGTTTATTCCGGCAAAACTCCGAATTATCTGGATCGATTTTTATGGGACTTTCACTGGCAGATAGGTGATATTATAAGCAATAACTTAAGCAATTTATTTTAGAAAAATAATTAGGGTTCCTAGCAAAAAATTAAAATTAATGAAATTGTGAATAAAATCTAAATTACTAAGAATTATTCTATGCGAACGAGATCGAGAGCACATCTAGTATATAATAATTATAATCGTCGTTTATGACACATGTGAGATTAAATAGGATGATTTCTGAGATCTGTGATGAGATACACTACACGGTTTAGAAATAATATATATGTTATACACTTCGTAACTTTCCTTTAAATTTTAATATTTATTAAAATAAAATCATAGGAATTGCTCCATTATATCAGTTTGGAAGAATTTGATATAGTACATAAATATTAGGTATTGTTGATTTAGTTTTATATAGTCGAGCTTAACTGAATTATAATAAAAAATATTATTTGGTGTTTTGAAAGCTTTTGTCAAAGCTGTTTTACATTGTCTTGTTAATTATTCATCACGAACAGTAAGTTACAAAGCTGTATTTTATTTATTAACCAAAGTTGGTCCAAGGAGCTCTTAGTAATAATAGAGTTCGTACTCTTAAAACAGTACTCTTTTCGTATTTATATCGTGTGCCCAACTCCGTTTGGGATCTTCGTTTGCAACAGCAGAAGTTTTTCATCACTGTCCAGCAGCGAAATGGTGGTTGAGTTGTTAGATCTTGCAATAACTTAATTGAAAATTAAACGGCTGCTTTTGATGTAAAGCCGGTCACCGACCAATCTTCCACCCCAAAAACCCACGTGAAAGAGCATATAGCTGATGTGAAGCACCGACGCTCCGGGAAGTCTGCAGTCTGTGAACACGTTCAAGATCATCCCCACCATTACATCGTATTTGAAAATCACAAATTCTCGCAAAAGGATACCGATTCCACCCAAGGACGATATGCGAGGCTATTGAAATCAAAAAACAATCTAATTTCAGTAGAAAAGATGGATGTGTGATGCTGTCTGCTTGAGATCCTAAAATTAACAAAATTAAATTCAAACCCAAGCATAACACTGCAAGACTTAGAGATACTGTAAGCTCGTTCTGCGTAGATCGGACTAAAAATTAATATTAAAAAACTGAAGGTAGCCGGGCTTACTATTACATTAGGACGTCAAACATCTCAGTCCCTCCCTCCTCCACCCGTGACTATGGATTATGTAAAGTACCAGAAACGTCGGGAATTAAAAACAACGCACCTATAACCAAAAGGATACCAATCCAACGTAATTTCTTTTTAAAGTTAATTGCAGGTGTTGTACTGCAGCTAGTAGTGGCAACACTTACCATGATGTAGAATGTTACTAACATTACGTACGTTTGTCAATTCAATTTTATTAAAAAAATAAACATAAAATGTACGCTCTAATTTGTACGTTAGAAGGATCGAGAATCGTCACAGCTTACAAGATTTATTGCTGACAAACGTATTACATATTTCCGTGAAGCGTAAACATATTGTAGAACAAAACTGAAGATTCTAATATTCTTCGTATCAGTTCAATATACCTTGAGTTTATTTCATATCACGTACAATTTGTTCGTGACTTTAATTCTTCATCTTTATACTCGAAAATCGTAAGGGTTATATGTATGTACCTATGCTTTTCACAGCATAATTATGTATAATTTCAGCAGAAATGGATCGGCTCGTTTTAGAAAGAGTCACACTCGTAATAGTATTCTGTCAACATGAAATAAAGGCACCTTATTACGAGAGGTTCTGTTATTGGTACTGTGTTCCGAGTTTTACAGAAAAAAAAACAGTGATTTACAAGCTATTTTCTACAGCAATGTTTATGATGTTTAGTCATTTTATAAAATTGTATTTCTCATTGAGATCACACTTCAATCTTAGAGAGAGAATAAGATGCCTCGAACTTTTTCATATTTTAATTTATTTCGTTTAAATTCTAATAATACAATTTTTATTGTATTTTAATAGCACTCTTTTAAAAATAATTAAAAATAGTCAAACTTTTGGAAAGACACAGTAAATGATTATTTCCTTTCGAATTTTGGTACAATTCTCGGGAAATAGGTCTTAACATTATTGATACGAGTACTGCCGTTTCGTATGTTGAGCGTCGAATAACAGTGATCTTTTTTACAATGAATAAGGCATGGATTTTAATTATTATGGCTAATAAAGCATTTACATATTAATTCACTTATAATCAGGTGGACGAAATGTCTGTTTGTCACCGTTACTCATCAAAAATACGTGATATTATAGCCAAGTTTTGTGATAGTTCGGTACTTTGGTACAATAAGCCGCCTGTGGTTGTACGCCTCTAGTACCAGTAGAATTTTTAAACGCTATTTTGTGTTCACCAAGTGTTTGGGCGGCATGGATATGAATTAGTTTATTTTTCAGTATACGGAATAGTGTCTTGCTGTAAATGGTGATTTGGCAAACGCAATTTTTCACTAATATTATTGAGTTGTAATTAGGAAGATGCTGCTGCCCTTTTCATGTATTATTATCATCTTGTGTCTCTTACTGTAATTAATTCTTATGCCGCCTTTACCCAGCACGCTTTCACAGTTAACTTAGCTATCTCTTTATTATTTTGTTTGAAGCCATAATGATTCCCTATATTAACATGAATATTACTTATCGAATAAAATTTATTTTACTAATTATACTGTGTTCAATTTTTACTTATTTTAAACTCCCGAGGTTTCGAGTCTATAAGCAATATCTACGGTCAATCAGTTAAACAGGAAATTAAAATAAACTGAAATTAAACACGATAAAAATTAAAAATAAAAAGCGTAAAATTATTTTCATACATATCCTTTTAAATCAACTTTAAGAAAGATAGCCCTTCTCTAGATGGCAATAAAATAACTAATAACTTCATGATTTTTCCTACTCAAAGGAAATCAAAATTGTGAAATTACTAACAAGATATTCTATTTCGGCCCTCAAGTCAGCAACGAAATCGTTAATAATTTAGTCTCCGTTCCTTATTTACGTAAGGGATCAATAACGGTGGGTTTGAGCCATAATAGCACCAAAATAGCGTTAGCTTGACTAGGTATTTGTACATAAATAAAGACGGCAAATGATTTCCTACCACACAATGGTAAATAGTACATGCAGCCAGAGGCATCCATCCAGATTATGCTTTCCTGACTAAGTCCAACCCCAGTGACAACTTTTTAATGTCGTTAGAGGCTGTTATTCGACGAAATAGAGGAGATATTATTTAATGATAATAATAAACGCGTAAAAACAGAGGCACTTTTCATAATCTAGCATGATATTTTTAATATTAACATAAAAACTTGAAATTCTTTTATATTACATATTATGTATATCTAGTCATTGTTTTTATATTTAATATGTTACATGATTTATATATATATATATATATATATATATATATATATATATATATATTGGAACAAATAATATGAAAAGAGGTCCATATATAAATGACATTTTGTTGCAATTTCCTGCCATCAAATTTCCGGTTAATGTAATAAAGTAGGAGCTTAATAGAAAATATCTGTTGAGTATACCGACTTAGATCTACTCGTAAGTATACGAAAAATAGTACTGTAAGCAAATAGTATTCTTATTTCATGAAATAACAGTAAAAACAGAGGCTTATTCTTGAACTCGTATTACTTGCATTTTTGCAAATAAAAAATGTTATTTGTCATAATCATCATAATCATAATCATAACAATTCCAATCCTACACTGTGCAACAAGCACAATCCTGAGCTATAACCTAACCATCAACTAACTGCATCCCTTACCTGTTCATCACTCCATTAATTACCTACTACATTTTATTAAACGACTATAAGTACTTTAAAAAAATCCTAAAAAAAGCAGTCAAGATAGGATAGAAGTGTGAGAAAATATTGGTTCCGGTAGTAATAAAAGGCCATGATTGATAATTTAGCAGTACACAGCTACATATAGCACTTTCGTAAATTAGTAGGATTTGCTTTAATCGCAAATACTTGGTGTGCGGCTTGGCAAACTCGGTATCGTACCCTTCGCAATTTTGACACTTTCCCTGTCAGCACTTTGAATATTTTGTATTTGTGAGACAGTTATTTGTAGACTACATAATCCTTTGTAATGTATATGAAAGACATTATAAGACGTGTTGCTTATATTATATACAAAACGTATATTGTAAATGAAATTGTATTTGTACACTTGGTTTGATTGTTAGCACGAGTATGTATACATCATATCCCTACCGAATATGGGCGTATTATCAAAATCATAACTTTTATGGAAAAAAAATTGATAACTCAACCACCAAACGTCTTAGCTTAGTAACATGATGTTAGGGTTAGACATAAGGGTTTCAATAGAAAGCAAATTTTACCCAAACAAAAAAATATTTACATGAATAATGATAAGTTGCTCTTAAATATGAATAAACAGTATTGTCGGGAGTAGTGGTGCTGGGATTAGTGGTGACACGGATAGTGCAAGCAATAAATGTCCAAAAATTGCCCCTATTTTGTTTTGGTTATAACTAACTACATATATATATATATATATATATATATATATATATATATATATATATATATATATATATATATATATATATATATATATATATAGTCGACGTTAGTTATCTCGCACCCAATAATTTTGGGATCACTGTTCCTGAAACTGAACCCGGGACCCTGTGGCTCCACCATTTTGTGGTTCCTTAGTTCCAGATTTGAAAGGGCAAGCTAGTTGCCCCATCATTTTGGTCATTTGGACTCGGACCCAGGAACATATAGCCCCACCAGATTTACGCTTCATTCCGGACTTAAATTAGCAACCATTAGCTCACCCATTTTGTTACCCAGTCATTGCGGATTTGAAATGGCATTCTATGACCCGATTGAGTCGAACTGCTAAACCGAGATTTGGATAATATACTCTAGTTTGGTTGCGCCTAGGTTCCTAAATAGATTTAGTTTCGCTTGGCACTACTGGGTTCTGTACACCATATTGTTGAGTTTATAATTGCAAATAGTTTTATTTTCGATTTGTAGCTACATTTACATATACTAAGAATATAGATAAATGGACGCTTGTTTTATATAGTTTGTCGCCGCAGTAGTTTTCTGTTTAATTAACGCACTTGGTGGGCAAAAATTGTCAACCAATTGCAACGTAGCATTTGCCCATAACGCTTTGTTTCTTTAATACTGAGTAATGTAAAATGATGAATTGTTTGCATAAAAGCATAAACCAAGCCTAGTGCGTTGTGTGCATTGTCGTAAGTATTTCTTCTGTATAATATTTAAAATACATCTGTCGGGTATGTTGATAATTTATATTGTTAAAAATATGCCAATACCGCCATGAAGGCTAATAAATCAGTTGTTGCAACCACCGCTCGTGTTTCACTACATAATACATAACTGGCGACGAGTTTAATAATATTATTGGTAAAAAAATAAATGCCTTTTGGAAAAATGGGAAGTTTCGATTTATCCTCTCGGAAATGGTCAGTTTACGTAAATCTTGTCAAGCAGCTTATCGCCTTGAATGAAATAAAAGAATCATTGTACATGGCCACGTTAATTACTGTCGTGGGCGAAGCCACATACGAATTGATGTGTGACTTATGTGCACCGAATAAGCCAGAAGAAAAATGTTTTGATGAATTAATCGACATCGTTAAACAATATCTAGAACCCAGTCGTCCTGATATTGCGGAAAGACACATTTTTAGGCAGAGGCGGCAGAAAATTGGCGAAGATCTCGGTTCATATCTACAACATTTAAAAAACCCCGCAAGTACGTGTAACGTCGCTGACAAATTAGAGGATAATCTAAGAGATCAATTCGTCTCCGGTCTTGCGAGTGACGAAATGAGAAGTCGCCTCTTTGCGGAAAAGGAATTAGACTATAAGCGGGCGGTGGAGCTGGCGGTAGCGTTGGAGGCTGCCGAGCGGCACGCCGAGACGAGCGGCGTAGCGGCGGTGTGCGCGAGCGAGCACGCCAGCGGCGGCGGCGCGGGGCCGCTCGGCGCAGACAGCATGTACAGGATCGGTGCGCAGGCGGCTGCAGGCGCTGCCCACGTGCGGGATTCGCGACAACAAGTCTGCTATGTGGACGGCCGCATTCGGCAGATATGTGTCGATTTAAGCAGTTCAGTTGTGATGAGTGCGGCGTTAAAGGCCATTTGCGGGCCATGTGTAAAAGTTTGCGTAGTGATCACTCGTCGAGCAAAGTACCGAAACGTAATCAATTTTTCTTGGAATCTGATTCCGAATCGGAAGACAGTGATTTATTTAGCATGTGTGTCGACGGAGCTAAGGACAAACCGTATGTAATTCAACTCTATGTACAAAATGTGCCACTGGTATTTGAAATCGATACAGGTATTAAAATATCAGCAATAAATGAACATCTTTTTAAAAAATATTTTCGTGATTTTGTAATTTCAAGTTGCAATTTAAAGTTGAGATCTTATACCGGTGACTCGATCAAACCGTTGGGTTTTATCACTGTGTTCGCGCATTATTATAACTCTGATAACGAGATACAGATGGCGCATGCACTACCATTATACATAATACCGGGTGGTCCTCCGCTACTCGGCCGAGCGTGGCTACGCCGCTTACAACTTAAGAGCATAAACATAAAACTAAACCACTTAGGGTGGATTCGACCAAACTCGAACTTGTACGCGAGTAACTATACCAGGGATAATTTTACTCTCAATATTAACTCAAGGATAATTTCGTTTACGTTCTACCAAACTATACCTAGATTAAAATTATTCTTGAATAGTAACTCTTTAATTGTCTATGGCATTGAATAAGATTGCCGAATGAAATGATCTAATATATAATGCTACTAAACGAAGAAGTTATTGTTTCTGTACGTATTATACTTGAGAAATGTACTATTATATTTAGCAGATTTAAAACGTCACTTCACTGTCACTATTTTCTAACCTCAATCAAAGCGAGCGTATGTTTATGTTTGTTTTGTGTGTATTTTATTTTATTTGACAAGTCAATGCGATTTTTAAATAGAATTTAGTTTATTTGGCGGAGTTGGTTACCATGCACGATGTCCGCATCGAAAAGAAAAAGAAGCGCAAACTGGATGGCATCAGAGAAGAGCCTGTTAGTTGAGTTGGTAGCGAAACATTTCCCTATTATAGAAAACAAAAAAAACCGATGGCACAACTTTACGACAAAAATCCGAAGAGTGGAAAATCATTATGCAAGAATATAACTCGCAAACGGCCCTGATACCTCGACTGGCTGAAAATTTAAAAGCACAATGGGAAGCCATGAAAATAGCTGCAAAAAAAAGAGGCTGCAAATACAAGAATGGCTATTCTAAAGACAGGTAGGTTCAAAATTATGAAGTATTAAGTATAATATATAATTTGTTTATTTTAGGTGATGGAACAGCTTTACCTAAAAAAGAGGATCCCTTTACTAAGCAGATATTGAGCCTTATATGCACAAGCGCATTAGGCTTATATAATCCTTATGATAGTGATGCAATTCTTCCGGCCGTTCCCACCCAATATGAGGAGGGTGGCCAAAAAGCAACAATTACTCCTGTGCAATATGTGGATATACCGCAATCTCCCAAAATAATAATCGAAGGTTAGTGGAATTTTTTTGGTGTATTTACATTATACAAGAATAATATATTGTAAGATACAATCATAGCACTTTTGCATTTTCCTATTATTAATATTTACTGATTTTGAACGAATGTTGTTTCCACAATTTCTCATTATTCTAAAATAGTTAGCAAATTACAAATCAAAATTTATATTATCTATTCTTACAGATAACTCAGAGCTTCCAATGGATGATGTGAACATGTCGAGATGTGAAACACAAACACCTAAGGTAGTCAGTTTATAAGTTACATTCAAGCATTGCCCACAAATGACTGTTAGCAGGTCGACCCATTCGCAACTCGTCCCATCAAGGAGTCGAAAGGGCGCTAATCGCCTTATCGGCCTCCTCCAGCGAGTCTATCTTGTCAGGTATAGTGTCCAAATGCTGGGAATTCGTAGACTTAAGTTTGACCTCAAGTTTACGATAATCGACAATAGTTTTGGTCTGAGGGACTTCACCTGCCGGCCGGTCCAGTTGTAAAACGACCGGCCTGTGGTCTGATACTAGCTCGATAATAGTCTAAGTTAATAAGCGGCGGAGTATTTATCGGTACACATTGCAAGGACCTTTTGTAGTAGACCAAGGTGCCGTCTTTAGGTCCGGTCAGCCTATCATTTCTTACTAGGGTATAATTGGCTATTTTGAGATCGCTCAAACTAGGTTTTAAGAAGGTCTCTTGCACTAGCATGATGTCGATATCATGGTTGCGTAAAAAATATATGATCTCTTCCTTTTGATGTCTGATACCGTTTGCATTAAAGTACGCGATAGTCAGAGATCTAGGCTTGGTTCTACCTATAGGTCTTACTTCCATTTTGGTTATGAAAAAGAAAGAGTTGCTTAGGCACACTGGAATGAACCTATCGCTTGGATAAGACTAATATGCTCAATGGTAGCATTGAACCTATCTTGGATAGACTTAGCTTCGTGACGTTTGCGGGCTAGGATTGTGACTTCGGCCATATTAATGTTGCTGGCGAAGTTGAATACTAACGAAAGGTCAGTGTCGATATTTGACGGTGCCTGAGGGGCGGGTTTGGGTTTCTGGGCCTGGCGAGGAGGCACTGGCTGTGAGGCGGCCGCGCTGACTATCGCCGGGAGCTTAAACCATGCGTTGGGCTTAGATGCTGAAGGCACCGGAAGGCTTGGGCCTTGCCCGGAATTCCCTTTAACGGGGGCGGGCTTGGCAGCTTGGCTGACCGATGGGGCAGAATGCCGTGGGCGCGACCTACTGGAGTTGCCTGCTCGTTCACGTCGGATTGCTCTTCCATTCTGCTTCCTACGCAGCGCTTTGGAACACCCGCGATAGCTCGCTGGGTATCCCTCTTCACCGCACAGAACACAGCTCGGAGCGCCCTCCATCTCGGGCGTTCGAGGGCACTCGGTAGTGCCATGATCGCCTAGGCACTTCACGCACCTAGGCCAGGCGAAACAATTCCTGGCGGAGTGGCCGTATAATTGGCATCGGTGGCATTGGCCAACGATGCCCCTACAACGCGGAGACTCTACAACAATCCCCGTGAGATTGCATATCCGTGAGATGTTAAATATCTCTTTTCCCTCTGGAGACAGGTCCAATATTACTAGACAAAGATCAAGGTAACGTTTTTTGTCGGTTGGATGGTGCATCCTGTGCACTTTTCTAACAGGCAGATTTTGCGATTTAAGATCGCTTAATATGTGCTCGGTTTCTAGCTTCTTAGGGAGTCTGCGAACTACAACACGGAGGTTACGATCCTCCGCGAGAGAGTAAGTGTGGAAGCTCAGATTCTGAGCTTTAAGGTTCGCAGTTAAAGCGCGGAAATCGTCCGTCGTTGCGACGTGGATGCGGATGCCCTGTGGTCAATTGTGGACTTTGGGGCAGAATATCTATCCACTTGGATAGGTTGCTCCAGCGTGATTTGTCCTGAAGGATTATTGGGGGCGGCGGCTTCTCCTTTCTAGGTACGGCTGAGTCGGGTTCGCGGTTTTGGTCGCACTGGCATTTTTTGCCGGAGTGGCGTTGGGCGACGTAGGGGTCAAGTGAGGATCGTCTCCCTTTTTTCGCGGCGGGGCGCTTGCGCTTTTTACCCGAGACTAGGGTGAAGCCTTCGTCATCGGGTTTTTCGGGTCAGTGGTTGTCAGTTTCCATCTCGGAGCCTGATTCGGCGACAAGTAGATGGACGGATACTGTACCAAACAGGTAGCTACATTATTTATAGGTAAGTACCAGCCAATGTACCTACTCACCGGTTTGACGAATATTCCAACTTATGCTCAATTTTAGTTAGCAAACAAAGAGTGGCTTCCTTGGATAGACGAAATCTAACAGCGAAGTCTTTGTCATCATAATCTTCGAAGTGAAATGCTCTTTCCTTTGTCCACCTTGGACGCCTTGGCACATAATCATCGTTGCTATCAGATTCTTCGATTATATTTCTCAAACTTTCCATTTTGGCGAGCTTTTGATTTAAAACCACATAAAAACAAAGAATATCAACATGGACTAATGATTTTTGACAAGATAAATGTACATAACCTAACATTTTGACATTTCATTATCCCTGGTTTAAGGTTTTACTCCACCAAAATCGGCCGTATAAAGTATACTCTCGTATAGTGACTTTAGCCATGGGTTAATTATTGGTAGAATGCAAATTGAGCTTACTCTTGAGTAAATAGCAATTTATTCTAAGAATAAAATTTACTCTCGTTTGGTCGAATCCGCCCTTAAAAGATGAATTCACAGGGGATAAAACCGAACACATAATTAATAATTTAAAAAATGAATTTGTTGACGTTTTTTCTCCTGGATTAGGTACGTGTACAAAGCGATTTACGTTGAAGTTAAAAGATAACGAACCCATTTTTCATAAGACGCGTAACTTACCATTGTCCTTAAAGAAGCTAGTCGAACAGGAATTGGAGCGACTCGTTAATAAGAGGGCACTATAGCCAGAGTAGAAAATTCGGAATATGGGACACCTATTGTACCGGTCATAAAAAAGTGCGGAAGTATTCGGATTTGCGGTGAATATAAAGTAACAATTAATCCCAAATTAAAACGTGAACCCTACTCCCTACCGCATATTGAGGAACTTTACGCAGTTTTGAGTGGTGGCACTATATTTTCAAAAATAGATTTGTGACACGCATACGAACAGGTTATATTAACGGAGGAATCACGAGCATGTACAACTATAAGCACGCTTGTAGGCACGTTTGAATATATCCGCACCCCGTATGGCTTAAGCTGTATACCGGAAAAATTCCAAAAATTAATGGAGGAGGTCGTTAGGGGCGTACCTAACACTTTTTTATATATATTTTACGTTGTATTCCCTCGACGATATATGTTGTTCGGGGACGGAGGAAACTCATTTGAATATTTTGCGGGAAGTTTTTCGTCGATTACAGAACGTAGGTTTAAGAATTAAATTAGAGAAATGTGAGTTTTTAAAAAAAGGTGTGTTATTTGGGACACATAATTGATAAAAGTGGCTTACACCCAGATGATAAAAAAGTTAAAGCCATTACTAACGCACCTCGCCCACAAAATATTCACCAGTTGAAAGCATTTTTTGGGGTTTGTAAACTACTACGGTAAATTTATACCAAATCTAAGTAAAATATTACATCCTTTGTATAGTCTATTACAGTCATGAATGCGAGCAGGCGTACGCCAATGTCAAGAGAGCGTTAAGTAGCGATACATTTTTAGTGTTTTCCCACTGATTTTAAGTGTGGACAGTAGTGCTTATGAGTTAGGAGGAGTTTTGGCACATGGGTATCCAGATGGGTCTGAAAAACCAATTTGCTACGTCTCACGTACGCTTAACGAAGCCGAAAAGTCGTACAGTCAATTAGATAAAGAGGCAGTGGCGATTTTTTGGCGTTACAAAAACCATCAGTATTTATTTTGTAGAAGTTTTATAATTCGAACTGATCACAAACCACTTTCGTATATCTTTAGAGATAAAATCGGTATTCCGCAAACAGCAGCTAGCCGATTGCAGAGATACGCGGCGCGACTGGCGGCTTATGCTGTCGCATGCTCGTACGATTCCAGTGCCCATTACGATACCACAATATCATATTTGCTTTTTCTGGAGAAAGATTTTACTGTCAATTACAAGGATATCGCGGAGGCGACTAAAACTGATCCCATATTACGAAATATTTGTAAATATATAATGTTTGGTTGGCCACATCATACAGACATGGAGCAAGAAAAGGCATATTTTAATCGTAGGAAATAATTTGTTTGTAGAAAATGATGTATCGTTTATAACTATCGTATAGTCATTCCGCCCAAGTTTCGCTAATACACCTTACGAGAATTACATGACGGTCACCTAGGAGTCGTAAAAATGAAAACCATTGCACGTAATTACGTGTATTGGCCAGGGCTGGACACAGATATAGAGGATATGTGTAAGCGTTGTGATGCGTGCCGTCAGCAGCCCCGCCCCGCCGCATGTCTTGCTCACTGCTTGGCAGTTTCCGGGTCGCCCCTGGCAGCGTTTGCATGCCGATTTCGGGGAGCATAAGGGTAAACATTATTTGATTATAATCGACGCGCACAGCAAATGGATCGAAGTATTTCATATGTACAGTACTTCTGCCAAAGTTGTTATTTGTAAATTAAGGGAGTTATTTGCACGAATTGGTTTGCCGTCGCAAATAGTAACAGACAACGGTCCGCCTTTCACATCGCTAGAATTGAAAGAATATTTCAATAAAAATGGCATTTTACATTCTCTCACCAGCCCGTATAAACCAAAAGGCAACGGAGCTGCGGAAAATGCGGTTAAAACGGTTAAAAACTGTATTAAAAAAGCTTATCACGAGGGGACAAATATCGAAAAAGCACTGTCATGCTACAACGGGCGTTGCGCCCAAAGTTGCGTTGCGTGGCCGCAGGCTGCGCGGCCGGCTCGACGCGCTGCGGCCGGACACCGCAGAGCGGGTGCGTAACAAACAGCTCGAACAGGTCGAGCGCACTGGCGGCACGCAACACAACGTCATGTGTACGTACGAAATTATTCCATACCCCTTTCCACTTCTTTCGGAATTTCTAGTTCATTTAATTCATACGACTCTTCACTCATAAACACGCTTTCAAAGTATTCCTTCCATCTGTTTAAATTCGAAACTTCATCATTCAGAATACATCCATTCTCGTTTCTTATAGCATTTATTATAGGCTGTTTTGTATTTCCCCTGGCAGTTCTTACGAGTTTCCAGAACATTTTTATGTTAGC